AGGAGTTTCCTCTGCCAATTAAATCACACGACCAGTCTCACAAAACGAAGCAAAGAAAAAATCTGACATATCACTTGGGTTACCATATATTATAGTTAGAGTATACCTGTCTTCTCTAAGTATGTGTGTGATTTCCTTTACTTCCCTATTGATCTAAATATAGGCTGTTTCAGACTCTACCCACTCAAGTCGAATAGAATCTCTTTTATATACTCACATACAGCTACATACTAGAAAATGTTAAATTATTTCAATACCTCAATGATATGGGTTTTTGACAGTGTAGTTACTCCCTCCACCAGCACAGATCACAATTTGTCCATTGTATTCAAAGGTTGCTGCTATGGCAGGAAAATCTCATCACCCTGACCACAACCTATCTTTCCAATCTCATTAAATGTCACTCCTCCTCCTTGCACTCTACAATCCAGTCAAACTGGCTTTCTGTCTGTTCTTCATTCACTCACAACTGATCTCCCACCTCTGAGTGTTTGCATTGGCTTTTATACACACCTGGAATGCACTCCCTCTGACCTCTGCCTTATAAAGTCACTCTACCTTTAAGATGCATCTCAGGCACCATTTTCTGCATGGAGCCTTCCCTGATCCCCCCAACTGCTAGTGCCTTTCCTTACAAATTACCTTCTATTTAACTATTTTGTGATATTTGTATTTATTAACTTTATATTTATGCTATATGTTTTTACATGTACTTCTTATCTCCCTTATTAGAATGTAAGCACATTCAATGATTGATAATGATTCCTGAGGACTGATTATGAAGAATGGTGTGCTCTTCCACCTGGCACAGAAGTGATAAATTTAGGGGCAATTAGGTGGCAGTCAGGAGGACCTGAGTTCAAATTTGGCCTCACCCACATAACACCAGTTGTGTGACTTTAGGCAGGTCACTTAACCCCAATTGCCTTGCCAAAAAAGAATAATGGATTCAAGATGCAGAGAAAGACATATGTTTTTGAACAGGGACAATGTGGCTATTTGTTTTTGTTGTCTTTTCATATTTGTTACACAGTCCTTATTTTTCTTTTTTTCTTTCTCAATGAAGGAGGTGAAAGAGAAAGAAAATAAACATGTATTAACTGGGAAAAAAAAAGAATTTAAAAAAGAATGTAACCTCAATGCAAGTGTGGATTGTTTCCTTCTTTGTGTTTGTATCACCAGTCTAGCATAGTCCTTGGCATATAGAAGATACATAACAAATACTTGCTGATTGATTGATTGGTTTTTAGGTCCTAAGGCTCCAGATTCAGCACTCTTCATACTGCATCACCTGGGCCAGGTCTCAATTTGGAATAGATTTAGTGAATCATTCTAACTACCCACATTTACAATGAAACTACTGACTATTGTTGCTGTTTGTTCAGTTGTGTCTGACTCTTTGTGACCCTATGGATTTGTCCATGGGGTTTTCTTGGCAAAAATACTGGAGTGGTTTGCCATTTCCTTCTCCAATGTGCCTCCATTTTACAGATGAGGAACTGAAGCAAAAAGGGGTTGAGTGACTTGTCCAAGGACACACAGAGAGTAAGTGTCTAAGGCTGGCTTTGAACCTAGATCTTCCTGACTCCAGGTTTGGTGCTCTATCTGCTGCACCACCTAGCTTCTCCTATTACAGAATGCTGACTACCACAGAACCACAAAATTTGAGAGTTGGGTTGGGTCTCAGTAGACATCAAAATCTATGCAAAAAAGAAGCCCTACGATCACATCCTCAACAAATACTCTTCCAGCCCAGGCAGAATAACTATAGGATCTCATTGCTTGATTCTTTTCTTCCCCTACCTACCTCTGCCTGTGTCACATGGACAACATAGCCACAGTGGAGCCACTGTGCCCAGATATGAAGAAAGGGGCAATTCTCCTCCCACCACACACCCTAATCCCTCCCTATGAGCATAGGCACTCCTCATCCAAACCAGCTCCCTCAACTACAACACAACAGGGACAATTGGGCTCGTTATTTTGTTTTGTTTTGTTTCTTTTCCAGCTCGGGGCATGTGAAACAAATGGTGTTTCACTGAATCCAGCTGTGGAAAACATTTTTTAAAATGACTCATCTCTGTTAATAAAAATCACTTCTTAAGGGGAAAATATCTACTCAAAAAAAAAGGCCACTTCAAGCTATAGAATTAACTGGTCCCATGGGAGCCCCTCCAGTCCCTAAATTTCATAGATTCAGCCTGGAGATGGATTTCTGATTGGTTTTCCTTTTGCTAGGTTTACTAGTTTCCATATTGTGTGCTCAGGTAACAGGAAAAGAGCTCTTGCCAAGTCATTCTGTTCTGAAGCTATCCCTATGCAAAGATGGCTTAGCAGATGTATATCAATTTCCATTTCATGTTCCATATCTGAGCCCTGTAGTTGGTACAATATTCTACTTTTTCTCCAGACAAATAGACCAGTACTGTACAGTGTCTTTTGTTGGCATTGTCTAGAACCCAGGTGCTAGGACAAAGAACCTGAAGTAAACAACCCAAAATTGGGAACTTGGCCAGCTGAAATACCAATACTCTACAGTGCTAATCTATGGAACGCCATGTTCTCAGGAGATGACACAATTATTTTAGTAACAACTCAAGGCCAAAGCCTGACATCATCATCAACAGCTTCTCATTTCCTGCTTTCTAATTTACAGCCTTACAATTCTATTACGGTCTTCATTTCCTTTTGGGGAGAGGAGCTTCATAAGAGAAATGATAGCCAAGTCCCTACATGATGATTAGCTGGTCAAAATGGGAATGGGCTGAAAGATGGTGGAATGTCAGCTCTGGCCGGCACTTTCTACCAACAAATTAACTTTCAGCCTCTCTTCTTCCGTCCTTCACCACTATAGCACCTCCTCTCCTCAAGTTTGGTACAACTCACAAATGACTAACTCTTGGACTGGGAACATTCAGAACTCAAGGGAGCTGCAAAAAGGTGTTGGAGCTGCACCAAGAACCAGCTTCTTTAGTATGCAGCACCACTCTCTCCTACCAAAGAGAAGGTGGGAAGAAAAAAACCTCGGAAACATTAGGAGGGGGATTGAAAAGGGACCAGCAGAAGGGAAACATATCTCTTGATAGTGCTGTCAATGGTCTTTTTAAAGTGCACCACTTGTAGTTACTTTGGTATTTTAGATTATTATTACATTAAATCACCATAGCAATGACATTGAAATCTGCATTTTGTCCAGAAGCATTACTATCAGGATACAGTTATTTTTATTGTTTTTAATAGATGCATCATTGCCATCATCACCACATTCCCCCATCTAATCTGCACAGTGTATTTTTCCCCATGACTTCCCTGATAGACTCAGGTCAAACAAGCAGAAGTATTTCATGTATTGTTTCTTTAAAGATACTGCCTAGAAGTATGGGAAATACAAATTCACTACTCTATGATGTATTAATCTATGAGAGAGATGGAAGATGGAGAGAGAGACAGAGACAGAGAGAGAAACAAACAGAGAGTAAGACAGTAAGAGGGAGGCGAGGAGGAGGGAGAGAAGAGAGAAAGACAGGAGAAGAGAGGAGAGAAGAGAGGAAGAGAGGAAGAGAGACAGAGACAGTGGGAGAAAGAGAGAGGAGGGAGGGAAGGAGAAGGGCAGAGAAAGGGAGGAGAGAGAGAGAGAAAAAAAGAGAGAGAGAAAGGGAGAAGGAAGGAGAGGAAAGGGGAGGGGAAGGGAGGAAGAGGGAGACAGAGACAAACAAGACAAACATAGAGACAGAGACACAGACCAACAGAAATAGAGGGAGAGAAGAAGTGGGCACCAGTGTGGGAGTATCCAAAGCCAAGGAGTACGTAGGGTGTTCAAAGAGGATTAGCGCTTCTGGTGTAAGGGCATGCTGAGACCTTTTCAGAGCTGCTAATCCACCTTTGGCATCAACCTGCCACCCAACTCAACTATGGTTCCAAGAAGCTGCAGCATGCACAGTGGCCACACCCTGGTAAAACTAACCAGGTAGACAGGCTAAACCAGGTTGAACATAACCTCAAAGCCATCAGTGACTTAGGGGAATGTCTACCCCAAGCATGTGAAGATTTCACGCAGTGGAATGAGCAGATGAGAACAGTTTGTTCTAATAGCCATGAAGGCAGCTGTGGAGTGGGCACCGTGGGGCACTTGGAGCTTGGTCAAATGTCAAAGGTGCTTAGGTCATCCACTGAATTTGGGGCTATCTCCAGTCATCCTGACTTTTGTCTTGCTACTGGACTTCAATGACTCTGCAAGAGTGAGTGAGGCTGACTTCATGCAATTCTGCCTCACTTAAATCTAATTCATGCACAACTCAAGATATCACCCATGATGTTACTGGTCTTCTTCAAAAATGAGGGATGAACAATACAAAGCAAAAGCAATCAAGGAAAAAGTAGCCTAACCTCTCTCATTGGAGGCCAGGCTATCCAAGAACTGAACTTGACCACTTGGTGCTTGGTGCCCATAGAAAGGCTCCCTTAGTTGAGAAGGTGTAGTGTTCCAGTCCCTTGGACCCATCCTAAGTTATTAGTGTTAGAAAAGAAAAATGAGAAATAGAAGTAAAAGAGATATGACAAAGAAAAAAGACATAGCCCATGAAGAGAAAGGAAACTGAAAGATGAGAGAGATGAAAGAGAAAAATGAGAGCAGGTACATGTAAAGAGAACAAAGAAAGAAAAAGAAGAAACAAGGAAAGAGAGAAGATAAAAGAGACAGAAGGGGAGGGAAAGGTAAGAAGGAGGAAATAAGAGGGAGAGAGAGAGTAGAAGAGAGAGAAGGAGAGAGAGAAGTAAAAAGAGAAGAGATAAAAAAGAGGCAGGAGGGGAAAAGATAGAGGAGGGAGGGGGAATAGGGACAGAGAGAAAAAGAAAAGAGACAATGAAGAGAAAAACAGGAAAAGAGATGAAAAAGGAGAAGGAGAGGGAAGGAAGGAAGGAGAGAAAGGATTCTCCTCTTGACTTCAGTAAAGCATGGTCTCTTGGAATTCTTCAAAATCCTCCAAGGTATCCAGACTTACCTCAAGATCCCCTGTACTCACTGTTTTGTGATTTTAACAGTAGTCTTCTTACACAGTGCACAAGGAAAGTCCTCCAAGAACTTGGCAGAACATAGAACTGCATGACTCATTTATATTCTACTTCCTGCTGTTTCCCCTTTTCAAACTGTGATATAAGTACAAGTACAGGAAAGGCAGGCCATTGTGAATCTTCAGAGAGACTGACTCACTGTATCCCTCCAAAGTTTTCTGTGTATTATACAGCTATGCTATCTGTTAGCAGTGTCTGAATACAGTTGTTGCCAATTTGCAAAAAGCACACAGCAAGAAAAATGGAAAAGGACCAGGGAGCCTTGTGTTTCACCTGGGTTCTCCCTTACTGACCCCACTCTCCCCCACTGGAAGACCTTCCCTATGTGGACAGAGGACCATATTGATTTTTTAAATCATGAAAAAGTGAATATAGGGGAACTTGAGTGAGACTAGCTACCTTGAAGAATTTGAGAGGAAGAATGACTTCACAATTTTCTCTGCCCTTTGGGGTCACAGTTAACAGAGGGAGATATTTTGTCACAAAAAGAGTTGAAGAATAAAAAAACATATAGTATGGCCTCTCTAGAGGGCCAGAAATCCAATAAATTAAAATATGTTTTTCTGAAAAGCTCTATTTGGGAAATTGCTTTCCCTAGGAGCTAATTTGCTATTCCATTCAGGCAATAGAGTTTCTCCAAATTGGTCACTGCAGCTGCATTTGTCACCATCCTTATCATGTATTACTAAATATACCCTGTAAGGAAGAATTGTGCCATTGTATTTACAGCTGAATGTATTCAAAGAATGTCTTAAAGGCCATTCTTGATCTTTATCATCAGCACAGTTAGAGTATTGTAGCTTATGGGTAAAAGTGTGTGGGTATATGAACAGACAAATTATTAGGATGTCCAATTAGAAGGTTGTTGTGATAATCAGGTAAGAATTGATGAGAACCTAAATCAAGGTGGTAGCCCAAGGCTGAACAGAAGGATTTAAATGGGAAATAAGAAAGTATGTTACAGTGGTAGAATATACAAGACTTGGAAACCAAGTGGATATTGGAAGGGAAAAAGGAAGAATCAAGAATGAGGACCTTCTCTCCTACATTACAAAAAAAATAGAAGCCAACCATTCTTAACTTTCTCTTCTCTACTCCACACCTCAAAATCTATTGACATCACACTCATTCTCTCTTCCATTATTCAAGGCTTTGACAAACAGGTGGTGTTATGTCTTGTCAAGCCCAACCCTTCTATTTATGCTCTTGAACCAATCCTTGATACCTTTTCTTGGAGGTAGGCTATCCTATTAATCCAGTCTTCCCTATCTTCCTGACTAATGACAAATTCACTTCTGCCAATAAACATGTCCAAGGGTTTCACATCTGCAAAACTCCTTCACTTGACCCTGTCATCCCCTTAAGCTACCTTTCTATATCTCTCCTCCCTTTCTCATCCAAAGTAGTTCTACACTACTTGATTTAATCCCTCTCCTTTTGCTTATTTAAATTTTTTTTCTATTTGATTTTTTCTATGAAAAAGCACTTATTTTCTCCCCCTTCCACTTTCCTCCAGAGGAAAAAGAAAAAAGTACACATGGTCACCCAAAAGAAATTCCTACATGTCCAAAAACATGTCTCGTTCTTCATCTTGAGCCCATCACATTTCCATCAAGAGATGGATAGCATTCATTATTGTTGGTCATATGGGATCATGGTTAATAATTTATTCATCAACATTTTAAGTCTTTCAAAGTATTTTGTCTTTACAATGTTATACTGTACAAATTGTTCTCCTGGTTCTGCTCTGATCACTTTACTCTTCATCAGTTCAAGTCTTTTCAGGCTTTTTCTCAGTTCTCATCCTTCTTGGCCTCTTTGCAGCATTTGACGGACTACTTCCTCCTCCTGGAGATCCTCATCTTCCTGAAGTTTTGGGACAATGCTCTCTTCCAATAGTTTGACTTCTGAATCTTATTCATGTCCCAACCCACTAGCTAAAGAGCTACCGGGTCCTCACCTTGGTCTTTCTTTTCTTCTCTCTCTAACATTCTCTCTCTATGATCTAATCAACTATACATTCAATTATTATTTCATGATACAATGGAAAATGTGCTGAATTTGAAGTCAGAAGACCTGGGTTCAAATCCTACCTATACAACTTAATAGCTGTGTAACCTTGGGTAAGTCATTTAATCACTTTGGGCCTCCATTTCCTCATCTGTAAATTGGAAGGTTGGAATAAGATGGCCTCTAATATCTGTTCCACCTCTAAATTTATGATCTTTGATCACTAAGTAGGATATTTCCAGAAGGCAATGAAAGAGTTGAAGAAAACTATTTGAATCATAGACTTTTTAAAAATTTATTTTTAAAATTCTAAACTTAAATATTAAAAATGCAAAAGATCATTTCCATATGCAAAGCAACAGAGACAAGGGGATTATATATGAAACCATGAATCTATTATATACATCTTGATTTTTTTACAAAGTATGTGAAAAATATAATGTCAATTTCAAAGTTCTCCTGCTTAACTTCCTTCTATATATTTTTAAATATACCTCAATGAATTTCTTTTATTTGTTTTTCTTGGTAACATTCTAATTAGTTCTCCATCTTCCTAAGATACCACCTCTATTAGAAAAAAAGAAAAATAAAACCAAAACTCTTATAAGCAGTAAACATTTGCTGTTGTTACTCCACTTAATAACAACAACTCTGCCACGTCCCACTCTTCATCACCCCATGGACCATATTGTTCATGGAGTATTCTTGGCAAAGGTACTGAAATGGTTTGCCATTTTCTTTTCTAGTGTACTAACGTAAACAGAGGTGACTCGCTCAGGGTCACACAGCTAGTAAGTGTGTGAGGCTGTATTTGAACTCAGACATTTCTGACTCCAAGCCCAGAACTCCATCCATTGAGCCATCTAGCTATCCCCAAGCAATAAATATAGTCAAGCAAAAAAAAAAAAATCCACACCATGCATGTTTAAAAATTAATATCTGTTTCTATACTTTGAGTCTATCACCTTTCTGTTAGGAGGTTGGTAGCATGCTTCATTATTAGCCCCCTGCAATGGCAGTCTATCATTGTATTAATCAGAGCTCTTAAGTGTTTCAAAGTTATTTTTCTTTAAAAGATTATTTTACTATACAAATTGGCAGCTAGGTGGATACAGTGCTGGGCCTGGAGTCAGGAAGATTCATCTTCCCAAGTTCAAATTTGGCCTCAGATACTTACTAGATCTATGACCCTGGGCAAGTCATTAATCCTATTGGCCTCTGTTTCCTCATTTGTAAAATGAGCTAGAGAAGGAAATGGCAAGCCACTCCAGTATCTTTGCCAAAAACATTCCAAATCGGGGAGATGGTGGGGTAGGTCAGAAAATTCCAAGCTCTCAAGATTTTCCCCCATAGGTACAGAAGTCTATCCTGCCCTACAGGAAAATAGAAGGGGAAGGGGATAAGAGAAGGGGGGAGAGATAGAAGAGAGGACAGACTAGGGGAAGGGATATTCAGAATGCATGCCATCTTGGGGTGGGGGGAGGGTGAGCCGAGGTGAAAATTTGCAACTCAAAAACTTGTGGAAATGAATGTTGAAAACTACAAATAAATTTATATCCAAAAAAAAGAAAAGAAAAGAAAATGTTGAGTTCCAAAAAAAAAAAAAAGATTTTCCCCCATAAAAGAGATGAAATAGTACCATAGAGCAGTAAAAATAAATAAGAGTAGGGGCAAAACAGTGGTCCTTCTGGGACAACTGGAGATCTGAAGAAAAAATCCCAGGATGAGGTTTGGTCCCTGTGAAGAATAAACACCTCCAGGGTAAGAACTGCTTAAATGACAAACAGGGAGCCCTGGGGTTAGCTATGTTGGGAGGCTGCCTCAGCCCTAGCCACAAAAGCTTTTACCCTTGGGACAGTGAGGGGATTTGGGCATCTGATCCGTAGAAGATTGAAAGAATCTCTACTGGAGCAGCTAGGTGGCACAGTGGATAGAGCTCCAGCCTTGGAGTCAGGAGGACCTGAGTTCAAATTCGATCTCAGACTCTTGACATTTACTAGCTGTGTGACTTTGGGCAAGTCACTTAACCCTGATCTGCCTAACTAAAAAAACAAAAACATAAAAAGAATCTCTGCTGACAAAGAAAGCCAGACCAGCCGTGCTGCCAAAATGTGGGGGAGGGGGCCGCACATGTTTGGTGAGTACAGAAGCGGGGGGACAAGGTTGTGGACATTTAGCGGAGGCTGGAGGCCTCAGTTTTGGTTCCAGGCCAGAGGAGAGAACTGAAGGAGAATCTGAGGCCAGAGGCACCATCCTCCATACCCCATACCCAGGACTAGAGATGATTACAAAACTGAGCTACTACAAATTTTAAAAATGCACAGGCAAAGGAGAAAGAATCTAATCACAGAGAGTTACTATGGGAATAGAGAAGACAGAGGTTCATCTTCAGAGGAAGATACTGAAGCAAAGAAACTCTCTTCTATCCCAAAGAGTAACATCAAATGGTTACCTGCCCCAAAAGAATTCATGGAAGAACTTAAAAAAGACTTTAAAAATCAAATGAGAGAGATTGAGGAAAAAATAAAAAATAAAAAATAAAAAACCATTCAAAGAAAAACAAGAAGATTATGAAAAGACCAACCAATTAGAAAAAAAAGATCCAGAATCTTAAGGATGAAAACAACTCCTAGAAAATCAGATTCCTAAAAAATAAAAAATAAAAAACCATTCAAAGAAAAACAAGAAGATTATGAAAAGAAAGACCAACCAATTAGAAAAAAAGATCCAGAATCTTAAGGATGAAAACAACTCCTAGAAAATCAGAATTGGGCAAGGGGAAGCCAGCAAAGTTCTAAGGGATCAAGAAATAATAAAACAAAATATAAAAAATGAAAAAGTAGAGGAGAATGTGAAACATCTCATAAGAAAAACAACTGATCTGGAGACCATATCAAGAAGAGAAAACATAAGAATAATTGGACTATCTGAAAACTATGATCAAAAAAAGAATCTTGATACAATAATACAAGAAATAATTAAAGAAAAT